GTGAATTCAGATTATAATAAAAAACTCAGAATCGGACCTTTTCTGGTTCGTGGGACTGGTCGAATGGAGGAACTCTCCTGGCTCCCCTGGGGTTGTCCTTGTTTCCGGTGATGCCCGACAGCCACCCCTCCAGTGTGTCGTCATCGACCTCCTCCGGGTGAATCCGAGTGGTGTCGTCAAGACCCGAATACATCCACATCGGATGGTCTCGAGCTTGAAGAGGCTGGATGCGCCGCCGAAGGAAAACCTCCAAGAGATCCATACCAGTGACCCCGTCACGGATAAGCTGGACCACTCGTTCGACCAGCACCCTAACTTGCGCCTTCTCCTTTGGGAGCACCTTCAAAGAGGAGGGTTTCCTCACTCGGTCCATGGTAAAAGGAGGGAGGCCAGTCGACTGCCCTGGCGTCGGCTGGTCTTTGCAGTAAAACCAGGTCGACTGCCATCCGCGGACCGAGTCGGGAAAAATCATGCCCGGAAAGGAACTTTTCCCTCTCATCTGAACACCAAGACCCCCACACATCTGAATCACTCGTGTTCTCTCATCACTCCGATTGGCCTTTTTCACCGTCTGAGAACGATAGGTGAAAATGTGCTTGAAAATACCCCAGTGAGGCCGACAACCCAAGAAATTCTCGCACAAAGACACGAAAGCAGCGAGATACACGATTGTGTTGGGAGTGAAGTGGTGGAGTTGTGCCCCAAAGAAATTCAGAAATCCCCGAAAGAAAGGGTGAGGAGGCAAGGAAAATCCACGGTCGACGTGGGTGGCAAGGAGAACGCGCTCACCCCCCCGAGTTGCGGCTCAGATTCCTTCCCTAGAAGCCGCGCCGATCCATGGGGGATCAGCCCTCCGTCGGCTAGGTCGTCGAGGTCTTCTTGGCGGATCGCAGAGCGGATCCAGTCGCCCTAGATCCAGCCCTTCGGCAGGCCGGCTCGTGAGGAAGATCCACCCCGACTGGTCGCCTTCCCCTTCGCCTTTGTCGTCGCCTTCTTCGCCCGCTCCAGAGCCGCCATCTTCTCCTTCCCCCTCGTCGCCGGCGAGACGCGTACGGAGCGGCGGCGCTGGGGCAAGAGCGAGCGCGACGAAGAAACCTGAAGAGGAGAAGAGGAAATGAGAATGCACTGTTCAAGAAACCCCGGTCCGACGCCTTATATGAGGTCGCTTCCGAGTGGCTGACTGGTAGGCCCGGACGATCCTGTCAAATCCCGTAACAATCGCGCGCAGGATACGTGGCAAAAAAGGTGGCACGGAGATCGAGGCGACTCCGCCCTATCCCATCCGATTACTGCAGCCTCCCCCGTCCTGCGTGCTTCCCAAAATTCGAATCCCGCGAAATCTGCGGGCAGCAGAACAACCTGTCAGACAAAAGATCTCCTCCACACCATCACTCGACAAAAAACTAAGAATGGATCAAGGCGACTGAAAAGGAAGTTGTTGTCATCACTCAGGTTCATTGATCCGGAACAAGATATGCTCATGGCATGAAAAATTAGTCGGAGAAGTTCTCAACTCCTTCCCCACTCAAACCTCGATCCATTCGGGGGCTAATGATGAAGCTATGTACCTAGGGTAGGGTCATGGACCTGTCCTAACTGCCCTACCCAAGGACATCTCTAGAAGAAATCACCTTTCAATCGACTTGGAGGTGTTCCACTCGACAGACTCGAAGACACTCGACCAAGAAGCAATCACTCGACCCAGTTTCAACCACTCGACGGCCAGGAGACCTAAAGTCACACCGCACGCTAACGGTCGGTCATTAAGTAGCCTTTATGGTCATCATAACACTTTATTAGAGGCGTTACCAGTAACGCCCAACCTTAATGTATTTAAAACCCTGCATAACTGAGGGCCGGAGGGGTCTGGCGAACTCTATATAAGCCACCCCCTCCTCAGTGTAAAGGGTTTGCACCCCTGTAATTCATACACACATAATCCAGTCGACCGCCTCCGGGCTCCGAGATGTAGGGCTATTACTTCCTCCGAGAAGGGCCTGAACTCGTAAACCTCGTGTGCTTACAACTACTCCATAGCTAAGATCTTGCCTCTCCATACCTACCCCCCTACATTACTGTCAGACTTAATCCCACGACAGACAACACTCTTCCCTCTCGTTGCTATGCATCACCTAGATAGATCTTGCCTGTTCGTAGGAAAAAAATTGAAATACTGCGTTCTCCAACACCTTGGACCCATGATCATTTGTCAAGGGCATGTAGGCTATAGTACCTCCCTCATAAAGATTTGCACCATATGGATGCCTTATGCCTCAGGGGTGTCGACCAAAGCATTGGTCGTGGTGAGGTTTTGGGAAAGACCAATGGCAGAGCTATGTTATGGCCTGTAGGGGCCATGCCCCCCAGCCTCAATCAAAAGCAGGAAGGAATTTTTATGGGGTTCTTAGATTAGAAAAATATATACACCCTTTTCCCTCCCCACCCCACCCCCAAACTTTCATTATTTCTGCTTGCCCCCCTGAATATCATGCCTAGCTCCGCCACCGAGCAAGACTTGTAAAAACAGGGACCTTTCATCTCTCGATTATAAATAGTGCCACAACCCCTTTGGACCATGGATTTGGTTCCCCGATTGTGAGGTTGGCATCGTTGGTGCACCATGGTCTCTGCATAGTCATGTTCTCGAGCTGCCTTGAGCTTGAAATCTGCCTTTTTCCTTTGCCAGGCATTTTTTTAGCCAAGATGGCGAGTATGGCCTCCTCAAGGCTCTTCTCTGTCAATGACATCGGTGATGGGCGTTGTTATGATTGTTCATCTCCCCTGTCGGTGGAGTTAGTCACGACGCCTTTGTCGTTGTTCATGTTACAATGAGGACTTCCTTCTTCGAATAATCTCACAATCTAGCAAAGCGAGCAAGTGATGAGCATGCCCATCTAGAAGTGCTAGAGTGAGATCTTGTTTTGGAAGGTTTCAGCTCTGGGTTTTTTTTCTGCTTGTTTCTTTACTGTTTTTCCTTTTTTGGATTCAACAAAAAATCAAAAGATTTTTGAATTTTAGAAATCTCTTTTTTAATTGTTTGTGTTTTCTCAGATATTCAAAAAGTGTTTGCCTACTTCAAAAAATACTCATTTTAGAAATGGATCACTTTTTAAAAAAATCATGACTTAAAATCAACATAAAAACCGACTGAAAACCCCGAAAAAAGGAACAACATGCTACAACATGGAAAGCAAATGGGTCGTCCTAGTCAAACAAACCTGTGCTTTTATCGGCATTATGATGCGAAGCGCACATATGGGAGCAACTATTCAGGGGGGTAACCCACTAGAACCAGGACAAAGTAGTCTAGCACAAGCTGCCTGTGGGCTTGGATTTTGTTCTGGCCAAATGTCGCACGACCAACCTGCGATCTCAGACATGTCCTCTTCATTCTGATTGGTGCCATCCATTCAGCAACCATCAATATTACCTCGTCTTCTTCAGCGTTCATGATTTCACTCTCGGGCTAGTAGCTCGAATTCGATGGTGAATCATCAAAAACCTCAGCTCTTGACATCGGGTCCATCTACACATAATGTGAATCATATATCGTATGTATGAATCTACGAGATGTTAAGCGAAATCAACAAGAAAATATTGGAGAAATTTACCTCTTGACAAGTCATTGACCACTTTGAGGTCGCACGGTGGAAGGGGTGGCGCAGGCGGATGATGAGAAAAAGGTGACGGGGCTACGAAAAAGTGTGGTAGGTCCATGAATGGCTCAACGGAGGCGACATTGGCCAAATCACGGTGGTCTAGGCTTTGGAGGTGGCCACCAACGAAGGCGGCACGAGGATGTGGATGGCAACGCAAGGGAGCATGTGACCTAAAATGTCCATGGTGCCAACATTTGTATAGATGGAGGGCGTGCTACATTGCCTCGCCAAACCTCCAAATGTGGAGGCTCGGGGTCTCGGTCTGTAGCGCCCTCGCCAAATCTCTATAATGACGGTTATTATGGCGATCAAAATGATATGGTTGACTTTGCTAGAGTTGCTCTTACGCGTGTGAGCATGATCACCAAAAAGGTGTCCTTCTAGCAACTGGCACCGTAACGAGGAATGGTGGCATTCGGGGAAATGTTAGGTCATGCACGATGTTTTTGTCTTATAACTGCCAAATAGGATAAATGCGAAGGTGGAGGAAAGAGAAATAAGAAGGGAAAAGGGCTTGCCTTCTCTTAATTAATAGATGATATCTTAGAATGTCTCATCACATATTTAGGAATAACTGGTTACTAGTTGAACATAAGACTAAGAAAAAAACAATTGTACATATGTTTTTATTGCCATCTCTTATTTATCAAAACTGCTCAAGATAGGATTGTTTTACCAACAGCTGTATATGTCCTTATAATGCCATATTATAGTCATGGCCTAGGTTATTTCTATATATATTTTTGCAGGAAATGGCCTTCATTATTTCAACATACAAGAAAAGAAAACAAAGACTATTTGGTCATAGATAACATAGTAGCATAACAATATACATGGTGTACATTTTTTTAGGACCTGATAAGTACCACACAAGTGGCACGAGCACATGACAACTCCAAACGTTTTTATGGCAAGTTTGGTGACGCAAGGATGACAACTTTAGTTGGCAGTCATGACAATTTTTGTGCTTCAGTTCATTTTTTATAGAAACTCGCCAGAATTTGCCATCCTTGCGTGACTGGAATTGTCATCGAAAATGTCAGGGCAGGAGTGTTACGCACCTGACATGTGGCACTTATCACTTTTTTTAACCTGTTGCATTGCCTTCTTCTCTTTTACGTGAAATGATCTCTAATTTGTGACAGCAAAGCAATATTTCCTTGATACATAAAATGTTATTTTCCATGCTATATCTAAAAACAGTACAGAAGTTACATGTGGAACTATTTTAGTTGAAAACGATGAGGCACACCCCCATCGACAACAATACATAGCACAACTGGAGCTTCTCCTCCATAGATCATCACGACAAATCAGTGGCGCGCTTCCCTCTGTCTTTGTTTATGCAATTTCGTACGCCGACGGGAGCAGCCTGGGCACCGGGTGGGCCATCAGCGGCACGGCCCGCTGCAGCAGCAGAGAGAAGGCCTCCTCCATGTTGAGCTTGTCGGGCGTCTGGCCCGCCGGCAGCTCCCAGTCGAACGAGTGCACGAGCGTGGCCGCCGTCACGGTGACCACCCGCAGGCCCCAGCTGAGGCCCGCGCAGATCCGCCGGCCGGCCCCGAACGGGATCAGCCCGAAGTCGCCCCCCTTGACGTCGACGTCGGCGTGGGTCCCTCCCGGGAGGAACCGGGCGGGCCGGAACTCGAGCGGGTCGGGCCACAGGGCCGGGTCGCGGGCGATGCCCCACACGTTGACCAGCAGCTCCGTGCCCTTGGGGATGCGGTAGCCGGCGACCTCGCACTCCTCGGAGGCCATCCGCGGCAGCGAGAGCGGCGTCGACGGGTGCAGCCGGAAGGTCTCCTTGATGACCGCGTTCAGGAACGTGAGGCGCGGCAGGTCGGACTCCGAGACGAGCCTGTCCCGGCCCACGACGGCGTCCATCTCCTCCTGCGCCCGCTTCAGCATGTCCGGGTGCCGGATCAGCTCCGCCACCGCCCACTCCACTATCGTCGACGTCGTCTCCGTGCCCGCCACGAACAAGTTCTGCATGCATGCATGCAAGCAGAGTTAATCAGGCACATTGAACGGCTGCGGTTGTGGATTTGCCATGCCGGTCAGCGGTCACAGTCACGGCCGACTACGAAATAGATTGTTACCAGTATGAGCGCCTTGACGTCCGTGTCCGTGATCCTGTCCTCCTCGCCGCCGGTGAGGGACTTGTCTTCCTGCACCATGGCGAGCAGCAAGCCGAGCAGGTCCTTACCTTCCTTCTCCTCGCCGGCCGTGCTACCTCCGGCCCTTCTCTCGGCGATGATCCCGTTCATCATGGCGTCGAACCGGCGGTGCAGTTTCTTCAACCTGGCAACAACACCCTGCGGGTCGAGCCACCGGAGAGCCGGCACGAAGTCCCCGACGTTGAGCACGCCGCCCACCTCCATCACCTCCAGCACGATCTCCTTGAACTCCTTGGCGCCAAGCTCGGCGCCGGCCGCGGCGAACACCCGGAGCCCCACCGCCGCCCGCGAGAGAGCGTTGGTCGTGCACACGTTCGCCGCCTTGCCGACCGCCACCACCCCGCCGGTAGCAGCGGCATCAACGAGGGACCTCACCATGAGCGCGGCCTCCCGCTCGCGGAACCCGCGGAGGTCGTCGAGCGCGCGGGCCGAGAAGAGGTTCACGGCGCACACCTTCCTCATCGCGCGCCACCGGGGGCCGTAGGGCGCGAACACCACGTCCTGGTAGTTGTACGCCATGTGCTCGCCGCCGGAGTTGGGCGGGCGGCTGCTGAACTTGGCGTCGTGGGTGCGGAGGAACTGCTCGGCCGCGCCCGCCGACCCGGCCACCACGACGACGGAGCTGCCGAACCGGAGCCGGAGCACGGGCCCGTACACCTTGGACATCTCGTGCATGGTCTGGTGCGTCTTGCCGCCGAGCTGCGGGAGGTTCCCGAGCACCGGCCAGCCCCTCGGCCCCGGCGGCAGCGGCGCGCGCCCCTTGTCGGCGCGGAAGAAGGTGGCCAGCACATAGCATACGCCCACGGCAACGGCCAAGGTGGAGAGGAGCAACGGGAGAGGGATGTCCATGGCGACGAGGTGCATTGTTGCGTTCGATCGATATGCAAGCACTGCGGGTGCTCGAGTGTTCATGTATGCAATGCATGCATGGGGTTCAAGATGAAGGCGCGCGGTAGGTGGACATGACTGGCAAAACTGCACAGGTGACACGTCTCATCCGGCGAAGCTCAACCACAGCTTTTACTTACCAACTACTATAATATGGTCTCTTGCAGCTTTCGCCTACCTACCGGTATGCCTGCCACCATTGGCGTTTCGGATGGTTTAGTGTCGCCTACTACAGGACGGTAGTCCTATTCTCACTGGAAGCGATGATAGGGCGAGGATGGAAAATGTGCAGGTGAATGTGCACAGATACGCCCTGTTTGGAATCTCTCCGCTCCGCTCCGCCCCGCCGATATAAAGGTTACTAAACATGTTCCATCACTTGAGTATACTCCGTCGTATGAATGAACTGCGTGGTAAAATAGAGTACCTACCTTGTTGGTGATATGGCGAGAAATGATGACATTCAAGACGGGATCAAGTTTGAACTATGTACAATGAAGCACAGGCCTTAATGAACCATAATGGCGGAACAATCAGAAAAGGTGACCTGGTTTATCCTTGATTGTAGATTTGTAGTTGTATATGGTTACCAGGCAACCCCTGGCTTTTGTTTTCTTTCAACTGTATCCAACTCCGGAAAAGCTTTGGATGAAATGCTGGACCATAGCCCATAGGCCTTTTCTCTAAATACCAGAAATGATGACATTCACGCAAATGTTATTGTGTCATCTGATTCCTGAACTCTAGTCCTAGCCCGGGCTATTTCAGCCTACAAGGAAAGGAAACAAAAAGTGAGATTCAAAGATGAGTTCATCGTAGACAACATAGTAAAATAAGAGCATACACATCATCCCAGCACACTAGCACAGCATGACGGGCTGGTGAGGTAAGCAAGGCCATGTATGGTGGTGGTGATGCAGATTCAGTCATACAAGACTTCGTTATCATACCAACTTTACCAAGCAATCTAAAAGGCTAATGTCGATATGGATATGTCCGTGGAAAGTAAGTTCAGCGGAAACAAGAACTGCATTTCATTTTTCTTGTCACAGAGCATAAAAGGCAGTAATTTACAAAGACTACTAATGCTGCATCCATTATCCATCGGTGCATCCCTTTCCCCGTTGGTCCCACACTGCTACGGCTATGCCCTGCCCTGCTGTCTAAGGCTCTAAGCTGGTCCTTCCCAGGAGCAATTTTATGAAGCTTAAATTTTTTTTGACGGCGATGAAGCTTAAATTTTACTCCCTCCGTTCCATATTAGTTGTCGCTGAAACGGATGTATCTAGACATAGATACATCCGTTTCAGCGACAACTAATATGGAACGGAGGGAGTAGTAGATAATACTACCATCCAATTTCATCAACAGAGAGCACGGGCCTACCTCTTTATCCCAGTTGGTATGAAGCATCATCACAAGCAGAGCTAGTATTTGCACTACCATGGCACATATGATTCCCAGCCAAAGCCCCTGCCACAGAAAGGAGGCTCATGCTAGAATTCAGGCAGAACCCGCAAAACGTATCCTCCCAGAATTGCATAAAACATATCGTACAACTTACCTTACCACCGATCTTCAGAACAAATGCAAAAATAACAGCTGAAGGGATACCAAAAGCATAGTAAGCACATAGGTTGATGAAGGAGCATACTTTTTGCCAGCCACAACCTCTAGCGGCACCTTCAGAGCAATAAGCAGATAAATTTAGAAATTGTTACCCAAGATCAGTACTAATGTTTCCAAAGAGCTACAGGGGTAGATTATTGTTCTCATATGAAGGCAAATCTAATGTTAAAGGGGTGGACATTTGAACCATATTCAACAAAAAATAACCCCAAACCTACTAATGTTTCCAACAAGCAACAATGATATATTGTTTCTTATATAAGGAAAACATTAAAGGGGTGGCCATTTGAAGCATATTAAGTAAAAGACAAACCTACTTATGTTTAAGTGGAACGAGCTGCAAAAGGGACCATGCCCCCTGTTGGTACTGTTTAAGCCCAACGTTTAAGGGAAGAGCCCATGTTAGTACTGTTGATGGCCCAAAGTTTAAGAGGAAAGAGCCCATGCTGGCACTGCAAATGGGATCGTACTACCTGAGGATTAATTTAAGATCCCGTGTTGGCACTGTGCACGTGGGATCCTACTACCTGATGAGGACCCATTTTGATTCAGGTTCTACATGTGCCAAAAAGGCTCATCTTAGAGCTGCCGTGTATGATGTGTACACATATGATGTCATTGACGTGTAATATGATGAGGTGATTCACATCTAAAAGCTTTCTGTTTGGGATACCGTGTTCAGGTGATGTGATCAGACACAGATGTCCTCCTGTGCAAGCAAGAGGCAAGAGCAGTGCATTTCTGTGGCAAAGTGCCAACCGTACTACAGGAATAAATTGAAAATACAGAGATTGTCCTCTCATTTTTGTCAAGTCACTGTTCAATTTTGTTCAGCAGTTTAAGCAAGTTGTTACCAATTGATCTGGTGGCTTGCATCCGTTTGATCTGTTAATATGTTCTGAACACCCAAACCACCAGTTTGTTTCTTTGCACAAGTGCATGTTCTAAAATGTGATGGCATGCCCATAATGCACTCAATTCTTTATTTTTTACTTCATGGCAGACTGTTGAAGATGTTGGATACACATTTCAAAGAAAATGATGTGTCTTGGCGCGGGCAAGTAGCCATAAGAAAGGAAGCTACTTCAGGCAACTTGAGCACCTGAAGCATACCTAGTGTCTCTACGGCTTATTAGAGCAGCAACCACCAGGAAATCTTGCACACAATCTAAACGCCCCAGCATGTACGGCGGCTGGTAAAGGACACAGATGATGAAGATGTACACTGCTGGACTGCTACAGTGATGTGGAGTGCACGAGTTGGTCAGAAAAGAATACACCGTGGAACTGCCACAGCCTCAGGATCAGGAGATATCCAGGAGGGTCAGGGAGTGCCAAACTTAAGCCTTAAGCCGCACAAGCTCTTGGGGCGCAATACAAGACAAAGCACGAGATTTTTATCGGCTCAGGTGCTTGTATATAAAGCCTGAGGAGAGATACATTTAAAGCCAAGGAAGGCGCTAGTGCAGTTGCCAATTGGTGCACCAAGATAAGAGGCATACAGTGACCGTCTCAGAAGGATCAAGAACTTGAAGGAGCTTGGGGGGCCTTGAAGAATCAACGCGTGAATTCACAGGTAAGATCGAGCTTCTCTACATGTGCTTGTTTTCTGTTTTCTCTTCCCAAAACAATTTCGATGGCATGCAGTTCTGTTGAATTTAGAGTTTGCAAGCTGAAATTCTGCGTGTTCTGCAGCAGGTATGGAGATGCTGGCGGGCGTGCAAGATGGCCTGAACATAGAGCAAGAGTATATCAACGCGATGCGCACGCAGTCTAACGTGCGCTTCTTATCAAACAAGGAAGAGATGGAAGCCCTTCTTCAGCCTCAGCAAGATCTCATCCTTCCGATGCTTCACAAAATGGGGCAGAAAAAATCTGCTGAAATCAAGCTCGCAATGTCCGGTTACTTTGATGCCAGTGCTGAGGCCTCGGAGATCTGCAAGCAGCTACTGAGGAATATCAAGAACACCGAAAGCAACTACCAATCAATGGACAGCTTCCTTGCAAGCATAGGCTGTACTACTGCCCCTAGTAGTACCTCCCTTGCACTGGAAACAATCCCGGGTAGAAGCAACCCTTTCAGCACCACCACAAGGAGCAATTTCAGACAGATTCATGACAGGTACTCCTCCGTGCTCAAGACCATCAAATCAAGTCACAGGAAAGTGGCAAAGAAGCTCAAGATAGTGAAAATCATCAAGAAGCTCTCAAGGACTTGCCTTGTCATTGCCGGTGGTGCGGTTGCCATTGGGATTGCAGCACACCTGCTGGTCTTTAGCCTTCTGGTTGGATCTGCGCTCATGGGGCTCTGCCCTATTGCGGTCAAGAGGAGGGTCACGAGGCTGAAACGTTCTAAGACAGAGTCTTTGCAGCAGCTGCAGGAGCAACTTGATACTGCCGCAAAGGGCACATATGTTCTTGGCAGGGACTTCGACACGGTGAGCCAACTCGCCGTGCGCCTCTCTGATGGTATCGAGCGGGAGAATGCAATGGCAACATATTGCATGGAGATGGTGGATGAGAAGTATCCGGTGCAGGAGATGGTGTTGGAGCTGAGGAGGAGTTGTTCCAGCTCTAGGAGATTGGCCATAGAGCTAGAAGAGCACGTGGGCCTGTGCCTTGCTACAATCCATAGAGCTAGAGTTTTGGTGATCGAAGAGATCTCCAAGCAAGCATGAATACAGTTGCCTGTTTAGTTAGTGTGGACATTATGTGTAGGAGTACTACTTCAGAGATGTATATATTTTTGTTAGATCGTGCAGGGAATTTGCACTTCAATACATTAGGATGGAAAATTAGGACAATTTAGCTTCAGCCAAAGAAAGAAAAGGAAGAAAAAACAAAAATAAACGGACGGTTTGTGAGAGTTTGAGCAAAACTAGAAATATCAACTGCAATTTCTTGCAGGGAAATTGATGCTTTGTTGTACAGTCAGTGTATATATGAAAACATTCTGAGATTATTTCTGAAATAGCACATGCAAGTAAAAAAAAAAATTCCACCCATCCTCCAAATTATCCTGTTTCTAAACATTTGTTAGCAATTTATGTTCAATATCTGTTAATGATTTAAGTTCAATCTGATGGCTACTATTCGAAGGTAACATGCTTGAGGCAAACCAAACAGCATTAATATTGGCAGAAAATGAGTCAGGGGACTATGCAACATGAATTCTGTTTACACATAAGGCTTCCTCAGAAGGGAGAAAATTACTGTATTCTAGACATATAAAATTAATATTAAGATGTGTATTTAGGCCATACCTGATAGCGTGCATTGTATTCCATCCATGAAGTTAGAAGTGGCGAGAATTGGCATCATTATTGATACATACTTTACTATCTCTTCTTCATTGCTGTACAAATAACCCCACACATCTCGTACAGAAACTGTGATGATAACTACAAGGAGGCCTTCTACTAGGCACATAATTCCTGAAATAAGAACTGATAGACGTGCTGCCTGTGGATTCCCGGCGCCTAATTCATTGGACACTCTAATACTGCGTACAAACATTAATCATGAATTCAAACTGGTTAAGTACAATTTTGAGATGTTAAATCTCATAAAATGAAAGGAACGGAGTGGAATTCTGATATTGTGCTCCCCTGACCTTATTGCACTGCTGAGGCCACTTGGAATTGTATAAACCATCCACATTGTGTTTAGGCTAGATAAATGAACCAAAGTTAGTGGCATAATCAAGTATCTGAAAGCGTAATGTCAAGCTAGCTAACATTATACTTCGTGATTATCACAAGAAATGGAAAAGGGAAGGTGTGTAACACCATGCTACTGGCCTACCACCATGTGATTTAAGTGTACCAGGCAGGTAAATAGTCTTGTTATATAACAACACTGTTGAATCTATTAAAAATCGTCTGTTTGTTAAAGATTCTCAGTAATTTAGTGCAAGAGAGTGCTTCAAGTCCTGTTTTCTTACCTGATGGATAAAATTGAAGTTTCCAGTTTTGGATTTGGAAGAAAACCTGCAAGGAGAACCACCATCTCGAATGCCCAGTACTCCAAGCTGAACTATATTGCAAGCCAAACAACCAGTTCCATGAAGAAGAAGAAAGGTGGTAAACCACATATCACTTTTCACCCAGTTGTAAAGACATTCTATTGCCAAGATACTTATTAGTAAGACATTGTTTTTTAGCGGTTGCTCATATCAGGCTTACCAGGTCATAAATGTAGATGGAATGGCCAGACTTAAAAACAAGTTCACATCCTTTAACACCGCCCTTGACCATCCATGCCAACTCCTTCTGCCAGCTTCAGAGAATTTAACATACAGTGCTAGCAATATCACATTGAACCAGTAAGATACCGAGGTTGCCAGAGCTGCACCTCTGTAGCCAAGACCGGAATTTTGAACAAGGAACCAGCACAGCACAATGTGGAATATCAACGTCACCCCAGAACAAACTACCAGTGGGTGGACAATATTTTGGGCCTGCAGTAACTTGGTAAGGCACTGAAGCAATCCGTATGCGAAAAGACCGGGAATCAACAACCGGGCGTATGTTCCAGCTCCATACGATATCTCTGGATTTTGACCAAGAGCAGTAAGAATTTGGCCAGTGAAGGCCAATACAAAGGCCAGTGGAACGCTTGAAAGCATAAGAACGAAGATAGCCCTCTGAGCATGCGTCCCTAGCATATCATACTGTTTTGCCCCATATGATTGCCCGCACAATGTGTCGAGTGCGCTTCCCATTCCCAGCTGGCGCATTGCAACGACATGAAGAGGTGAGAATTTTCATCAAATCTAATTGCAACTGAAAGTAGGCATCATCTGATAATGTTGGAAGAAGATTTTATGCCTGCTGGTCACATAAGCATACTAATTTTCTGATAATCTTGCTCACACTGCATTAAAAACTACTAGCTCCTAGATGCTCGCTTTGCATTTCATATCAACTCGCTCTTCCTTTCAACTTCGGAAACAATTTCAGTTCTGGAAACAATTTTGTCATGCTTCACAAGTAGCAACACGGGCTTTACCAGGACGCTGAAGCCAGTGACGTTGGCGAAGGAGGAGGCGACGGAGGCGGCCGAGAGGGGGAGCTCGCCGAGGTGGCCGGCGAACATGACGGAGACCACCTGCAGGCTGTACTGCAGCAGGCTGCATGCCACCAGCGGCGCCGCGAGCCCCACCTGCCGCCGCACCTCGTCCCGCGCCGCCGGCGCCGGAGCGAGGGGGAGGAGGAGAGGCGCTGAGGAGGCCGTCATGGCTGCCGAGCTCGCCTCGCCTCGTCCGCCCATTCCACCCACGCTGGTCTTTGAGCTTTGACGAGCTGAAGGGAGGGGAAGACGCTGACGGGGCGCGCTGGTCGCTGTCGCGGCAATGACGCGCGGCGGCGCAGGCGATGAAAGGGGACAAGAAATACGGGCCACGCCACAGTTTGATAGCCCAATTTGGGGGTCTTGGGCTGGTTCGATTAGGACTGGGTTTCTTTCTCCCGAAGCGCGGTATTCAGGCTGGCTAATGAATTGGAGCCTGATAGGCTTTAAGGACACTGCATAGCCCAAGCAGAACGCAGATCCGAAAATACAGATCCTCACTGCGTACTCTTTTATGAGAGCTGCTATATGTACGAGAGAAAAAAAAATGCACGACAGAAATTCATACGATTTTTATACGACCAGACTCATCTGGTGATGTGGGCCCAAACCTCAGGAAACGTGCCTGTGTTTTGTCGTACGAAAATCGTACGAAAAATCATCGTACACAAGGCAGTTTCATTCTTTTATTATTTTCCCTCTAAAAAAAGAATGTGTATTCTTTTTTCCATTTTTATAGTACTTGATTGGTACATATGTGTACAAACAATTATTCCGGTGTCTTTTTTAGGACAGTAGTCCAAAACAAAATTTCAGGTTAAGAACTGCAGTAGACTACTATCCATAAGGCAGTACACAACGAGCAATGCTACACACATAGACGGCATTTTAAGGGATCAACAGAGTGGCTTAGAGCAACTCTAGCAGACCTCGCAAAACGCCGGCCCGCAAAATGCGTATGCAGTTCGCGTAAAACAGCTTTTTACGGGACGGCACGGGCTGGCACAGATG